TTAATATGAACTCTTCAACCTTTGTTGAGAAGACCTCCAACAAGATTCCACATCTTCAAAATGACATAATAGTGATTTATGAACGTGACACAATGGCTGCAAAGATGAATATCGTTTACTGTTTTTGCAGATTTACAAAATAAACGGTAAGTACGGTAATCATACTTCATTCTATAGCTGACCCGGCTATTGTTATTAAATTCTATTAGCTTTTTACTGACTTGAACGCTCGGATTATTATTAGGGATTAAGCATGACCCATCCAATCGGGAATAAATATCATAGTGACCTTTGAGCTTGATCGTTCACACACTGTGACATATGGACTGTTTATTCATATAATCATGACATTAATCATTTTACAGCTCATACTATTGTTTTCGTACACAGCTTGCCTCAAAACAAATGAATAATCGTTAGGCTCATAAAGTGAGCCTTTAAATAACAATTAACTAAACAGAAATAAATTACAAATTAACAAAAGACGTTTTACACAAATACTAACGATATTAAATTATGTTCTTGTTAAATTACTATTTACTTTCCTGCAGGCATTTCATTTGGACCTGGGGATAAATGTTGAACTTCCAACAACTTAGTGTTAGTTGAAATAATATTAATTAGTTTTGATTGCAGACTGGCAAGACTAGTTACATAGATGATAAAGATTTCTTGGTCATATCAGCATTATTTGCTATTTAGACGAATTCTAAATATACACAGTGGATACTTATCGATATGCAATGTGTCCCTTCACAATAGAAAATAATCGATTTAAAATCGATCACGACATAATTAACTGATGGGTAAATGCTATAATATAAACATATACAATAGTTTATTTAGTTATCCCTTGTATAATATAAGGTAAATAATGAATACTTAACTCATTTATTTTATATACATATGTAATTTAATATGAAACACAACGCATAAAAACAACATCCTTTTCAGAACAAAGAAATACATTGTAGCATAATAAAAATATTATACAAAAGGAACCGATCCTTGAATAAAGACATTGTGGTGATATTTATAATTCAATTCCTGGAACAATTAAAGATATAAAATCGAGAGGAATGACAATTAAAGCTGGTGTTTATCCCAACAATGGAAGCCATAAACGACAAACACATCAAAACATCCATAGAGCACAGACTAAAAAGGCAAACAACATTATCATAGAGTGATCAAATGTGAAAATTATACGTTCAGTCGTAAAATTTTTACTTTTAAGTAGACGTCTGCCATTTCTAGACCATATCTTCACACAGACTTCCGCCGCATAATACCATTGTTAGCAACAATATTATATAAAACATGTTAATTCATATGACATCGTTAAATTGTTCTGCATGTACAAATATCATAATAACTTGTCTTTGTCACAGAAACCTACTTACAATGTAACTGGCACTCGTATGCGTCATTCTCAAAACAAAGACTATTGGGAATAAAGATTTATGTAAATTATCTAGCTCGGTAATCCAACTTTCATTAAGATGTATTTTAGATGTCTGTATTACATCTTGATTTAGGGCATGTCAGACGAATTATTAGCCTTAACACCAGGGGCTAAAGGTTCACAAATTGACTGTCATTTACAAAGCGTTGCGGAAGATTTGCTTCAACGAATTCAGGTCAGAGTCCTGGCGTAAACTCTAGCAATGATTAAGACAAACATCCTGACCACTTATCTCATGGGGCATTGACCAGGTGACCACCTACGATCTATTTGCAGTTGCCAAGCGTGCAGCAATTATCTTATGCACGACAGTGTTTGTTCATCAAGATAAAAAGGTCAATTAGATTCTATGGCTTATGTCGTGTTATGTACAAGTAAATAGTGATTAAAATTGTAATGACAATGTTTGTTATGCTAACAGGAGACGAGGAAGCCGTTCGAATACGAATAAGTTGGCAAGTCATTACGGCCATAATGCATGAGCTTCGATTGTGGTGTTCACACGTGTGGGTAAGCCTTATATGGTTATCTACCAACACGGATTACACACGTGTTGTTATGTGTGGACTGATGACTTGTCAATTCGTGAGTTCCTGACTTACAAGGTTAATAAAGGGTGTATCTACGTAGACCCTTTTGGTTCGCTTCGAACACCTGACTCATAATTACACAATTAACCGCTTTGAAAGGTGCATCCGAATAAAATTATCTCGGCGCACATAAATTAATTTCATAAAACACGACAAAGCGTCTTTTCTCACTATAGCATGATACTTAAATAAGTTCATGAATATTTTTGACGTCAGACTGAATTTCAAAAGTAAGAAACACAGAGCATCAAATAAAACGTTAATTTTATTTCTTTGTTTACTTTCACGAACGTCAAAGCGGGAACGTAAACTTTTGACATTATCTATTTTACGTAAGTTCACAATATTCAGGGTATAGGTACTGATAACTTGAAGGCTTTGTATGAGCTCAAGTGTCCCATGCACTTCAATACAACATTCGAAGACAGGCAGGATACCTCTCTCTTTGTGAGACAAACCTGCTCCAGTTAGTCGAGTTTTATTTTTAATTCTACCTGGTACAGGTGTTCTTTTGTAAGGTCGCCGTCCATCCCCCGCCCGTTTGTTTGGAAACACATGTTTTTTGTGTTGCCAGCGCACACATTGTCGGGACAGAGCGGCGAAACCATTTCGTAGTTTTATTTTGTTTCGAAACATCGATCTCACCTTGTCTCGAACGATTATAAGCGCAAAATGATCGTGAGCCGCTAATCAAAACTCGTCACAATTACTTAATTGATTGACATTGCAAAAATTTAGATTTTTGGGTTGAACAATTTGACAGTAATTAAAAAGGAAATCGCCGTCCCCGATACTGGTTAATAAATCAAGGACCGTCTTTATAGTTAATCGCAGCGGTTGTTTAATCACGCGCACGAATTCTTAATTCAAATGTAATACGAAGAATGCCAGTAGAAAAGAATTTCAACTAAATTGCCGACACAGTTTGCTAGAAGGATTAGTTACAACGTCGCGTGACTGACAGACCGCAGAGTTGCAACGACAAAACGCCGCCATGTCAGAAATATCTGGCATTGGACGCGGTCGTGATGCGAGTCTGCCGCACTAAACTGACTGGAAAATTCGCAAAACCAACGCGGTGCAACAAAAACAGCTTTTATTTTTAAAAATCTCACTCTGTTTACTACAGGCAAATCATGGTTAGCAACCAAAATTCTATTTTCAAATATCGAATGCTAGACTTCGTCTAATGCTCCGACAGCCAATATCTTTTTTTTTATTCGACTGAATCTGATGTTGCATACAAAAAGTCTGAGTAACAAAAGGTTTCTTAGCAACGCAGGTACTTTTTGGACTATGGGTGACTCAGTGGTTACCCATACCAATTTATCAGTAGTTTAAGTAAGATATTGACATATTTCTGAATCATTTGCGAAGTAAAACGTTGCACGGTCATCCAAAGAGGCGACGACGTGCAAAAATGTTTATTAGAAGGATCATCTCTATTAATATTGTTTAGATGCGAGATATATTATTATGCCTGGAATCATAATTAGTTCAAGCTCCAGTAAGTAATCAGAAGGCAGTAAATTAACGTTCCGTGCTTAACATGTTTTTAGAACGAACAAGATAAATCTGCACGAGCAGTTATTAAGTCGATCAGCAGATAAAAATAATTAATTTAACCAGCCAGGTATAGTGCATTTAATTTTATACAAATGAGCTTTGAATCAGATTACTGTGGCAGTAGGAAACAGTTACATCAAGACTAAAATTATGTGAAAACATTTTATTGTCTTTGGTTCGATGACTAAGATAAATGAAGGAAAATATTTTGTCGAAAACCTCATCATAATTTGCTCATTAAAAACCTTAATTGACTCGGAAACTTTCACGGTAACCTCTGCCAAAATAGGCAGCTTCTAGAACCAGTTTAAAATTAAAAATTACCGCTACATAGACAAAAAGTAATGACAGTTAGCCATATTCAGGAGTTGTATAAAGAAAGAGGCTTTAACTCGCTAGAGGTTTGTTAGTTAATGCTTATGGATTTTAGAAACAAAAACAATGTATGAAACTGTACTGTTTCAATGACGTGCGCGTGCGCTGCTAAGTACCGTTGTACGCGCGTAGTAACAATATGCTCTAATAGAACATTTATCTTATCGCTAACCTGCATATCTTACAATATCTAGGTTTCACCTGAATAAATACTGAAGACCTATATTGGGAAGACTAGAATGTCTCAAGTAAGAATTTTAAATACGGCCTTAGGTATTGGGTATTCAACTATAATTAATTATTTATTAATTAAATGTAGGTAGTAATACTTGTAACAAATAGCCAAGCTATCATTACGTTATTGACACTTCAGGCGGTAGGTAACCTAGATAAAACAATTACGCATACATTTTGATAATTCATGTAGATGAAACGAAGCGTTTCTGTTTAATGTAGCGAACGAATAACATGACTTCTTCACACATTAGTAATAAAGCCGTTAAGTTTGAGATTCGCAGAAGAAAATTTCGGCAGTCTGTTAACTCGAAGCAGTTCAATCAACAAATTGTAGGTCAGTGTTTTGTTAATAGTGGAAGTTAGGAGGTTTTAATGAGTTTTTATTGTTTTCTGCAAAAACAATGCAACGTCGCAGTGACATTGGTTCGTATTTCACTGGTTACACATCTTAACCGTGTTTTGGATGTACGCGGATGCGTGTTGACGTAAATAACCACAGTGTAACATCACATGGCGGGAGACCGAGTTACTGAATGTATCGGGAAGTTTAAAAATAGAAGACGATCGGGTGAGCGACTCGAGACGCGGGCCACAGATAACGTTTATCGTCCGAAATGCTGCAAGCAAAAGTAATAACGCATCATATTATCAGTATTCCGGACGGTTTTCCACGAACGCTTTATTCATTTGGGAATAATAAATGTACAGTCATATGCACACACACGGTTTTAACGAACCGTGTAATAATTCCGTTATCGCGAGTGGTGTTACTTTGGGTTGGTAAATAGGGGTGCGGGTGTGGCCAGCTGATCGGGACCGCACGCACACAGCTGCAAATGTTTACGAAAAATGTTACACAGACCGCTTATTGATTTTATCCGCCGCCGAATGTGCTTCAGAAACAGGTGTTCCGAGTCCTGCGATGTTTTTTTTAATGGTAATACAACAAACGACTTCCTATACAAACCTACAACGATGCATTTACCACTGTGTATTCACTTTGTTATTGATCGTATGCCCCTTAGACATGTAGGTATCAGGTGGGATTAACGAAACGAATGCTAGTCGTCATGTCGATGTTTTCCAATGTTTTGGTTGTAAGGATACAATGCATTATTTGATATTGAAAAGATAAGAAATTAGGTACCTTGATTCCAGAGCGTCCCTGCTGTTTGAGCAGCACGTTCTCCGGCTTCATGTCGCAGTGTATGATCCGGTTCTTGTTGAGCGCGTGCAGGCACTGCAGCAGGCTATGCGAGAACTTACGGACGAGCTGCAACGAGAACCCTTGGAATTTGTTCTTCTTTATCAGCTCGTACAAGTTGATCGACAATAACTCAAATGTGATGCATGTGTGGTTCCTGAACGTGAACGAGTCAAACATGTGGATCACGTTCATCGTGTTATCTTTGTCCTGCTCGCGGAGGTGCTCCAGGATACGGATCTCCTCCTGCGCCTGGCGGTGGAACCGCTTCTCGTTGCGCACCATCTTCAGTGCGACGTTCTCGCGCTTCTTGTGGTCGTACGCTTTGACCACCTGGCCGAAGCTACCTTTGCCGATCACCTTGAGCACCTCGTATCTGTATGCTATGTGATCGTGCGGTATGTGGATGTACGAGCCTTGCTCGTTGTCGTAATCGCAATTGTTCGGAAACCCGACCAACCCGGGACGTTTCTTGGCGTTCGCGCCTATAAAGTACACTTGGGGGTAATCAAATATCTCACGGTGTTCATAGGGGGTGAGTTTGCTCATGTAGAGCTTCATGACCTGCTCGGGGCTAGCGGCCGCCGCTGGTGGCCGCTTGTCGGGCGGCTGCGCGTTGTTGGCCGGTGGTGCGGGCGGGCCCGGCTCGAGCGGCGGCAGCGCCCCGTCCCGGAGCAACGCGCGCCCAAACGCGTGCGCGCTCCCTAGAGGCATGTCGCCGGTCATGGCCGCGCGGCCGCCGCCACCTCCGCGCACCTCGCTCGCCGTGGCCGAGTCGACCCACGCGCGCTCGCACACACCACTGCACCTCACTGCACTTGCACTAGATGACGGCGCCACTCTGGCACACTGCACGACATTTCACATCGACCGGGAGGAGCGAGACCCACGCTTCCACTTATGCGGGCACATTCCGTCTCGGCAACGATACGATGGAACCGCGGTCGCAGATGATACCGTGCGACGCGAACGTGAAACGCAAACAAAGACCCCTTCCTTGCGGGCCGACCCGACGACAAAACCAGAGAGAAAATAGAAACGGTCGCCTAAGTCATTGAACCGTTCGGTCGCATGGACTCAACGAGTGCAAGTGAGATAGAATGACTTTTAAGAGTACACTTGTCTCCCACTAGATGTCGCTTGCTTTCGGCACAGACTTAACAAAGAATCATTATTGAAGACCCGTTTTAATTGAAGAATTTACTACAATTTTGTTTCGATCACAAGTAAAATACATAAAAATATGATTTATTAACTTAATACTTATGAATAATATCATAAGGTCTATTTTTATTAACTAACCTTCACACTTTCATAGATAGGAAGAGCTTTTAATTTCATATCTTTATTATTTACGAATGTAACAACACAATTGAATAAGATAGATAACTACGTATGTTATGTGAAACTATGAAAAATTTTCCTTTTCCTCACCTAATGTTTGACACGTGCAATGATGATGATGATTTATATTCAAAATTCATGAAGCAAAAATCTTTTTGAAAAAACTAATTCACCTCATATTATAGTTAATGAATAATACATTTTTTTTTCAATGTTGGTTTTTGTATTCGTTATAATGAATAATATAATAGTTATTAAATTAATGATTTCCGAATTAAGTGGTCACATTATTGGGAACTTTAATTCATATTTAGCAATTATAGCCTGAACTCGACTTTTACAAACAAAACATGGCAATGTTTTTTGTTTTGTGGGTCTTTCATCATACTTTGTCGTTGTCTATGGATGAATCGAATGCGATGCCATCTATCGAAAAATAAACTAAGACCAGCCCATCCATCCGAACATACCACACGTCTTTTTCTATTCCGTTGTTTTCTGTCATTTACTACAATCGCAATCAGAATTAATAGATATTGTGGTGTTAATTTTATGGAGAAGACCGTACTTTAATATAAGTGTAACAAAGAAATGTAATTTAAACTCAAAAGAAGATCTTGGTGATAACAAATGTAAGTAAAAGTGTTTCGATATTTGAACAATCATTTACAAGTACTGTGATTTCTTTTTTTGCCTCTATTATATGATTAATTCGTCTTTACAACCAGTCAAAATTATTCAATTCAAATATTATTCGTTCTTAATTTAAAAGCCTAAAACATAAGTATAGTAGGTATGGAAATGCCGAAAGCCGATTCGCAATTTTACCTGATTCGATATCAGAATTACGTTTGGAATAAAAATAGTGCGTTTTGCTGGGCATAATTATGTTGTATGTAGATATTAAATGTATTATCATCAGTATGTGATATGAATCGTTTGAACACCGTATGCGTCATACAAACATGAACCTTTCAAGGTAATGTTAGGGCACTAGTATAGGCTGCTTATGATATTGCATTGTACTTCCTTGTTCGACGACTCGGCGACTTACCCAAGGCCTGTGTGTGTGTGCGTATCATTTGCGTGATGCTTGGACGGTTGCCAGTGCATCAAACAACTTCTGCACTTAAGTGTGGGGAAATGAGATAAAATATATAATCTTTTTATTCTTTGTTTTTTGTGCCCATCGGAGGTGAGTCAGTTGCTCATTCTGTATCAGGTATTAATGTGTGCATAAACTTTGAATAACAATGAACTGAATCATGGAGTTTAATGCTATAAGAACAAATATTTTCATTGACAATGATAATCTAACAGTAACAAGGTTTCAATGAAGTCAATTAACTTACATGTGAATAATTATGTGAATGATACTTTATTCTAATTTGCAGCTCTCAGTAAACAATGCTTCTATAATATAAATATTTAACAAGATGTTATAACCACTTCCTGATCTTGTGGATTATGACACAGACCTGTACCAGGGTCATATTTTGTAATAAGAATAATTAATTCTTCACCCTCCACATTGTTAGTGGCCAGACCTACAAAAAATGGTAACAAAACCTACAGCTAATTACAAACCTCCTTGTGACTTGAACTCTGTAAATGTTATGAGTCATTGTGCTTATTATCTGTGGTATTCTAAGCATGTACTGGGCTCTTCTGTTTTGATGATAACTTTATATTGTGCCTACTTAGTTTAGTACATGTTTTGTTATGATTGTATGACTATATATTTATTTTAACAAGTTGCAGACCAATAATAATAAGGAAGATAGTTATTTATTTTATGCTTTATGTATGTACATATTCAATGCATAGTTATTATTAATGTTTGTTCCTGTAAACCTTTAGGTGGTATAACCCACCTAAAAGTCTACATAACATAGGAAATTAAATGTCATTATTTAATACATAACTTACACACACTTACATTTGCTGTATTTGTTGGAGTAGCACTTAAAATATAAACATTAAATCAGAAAAAGAAACATCTACCTACCACACAATCTTTTAACATGGTTTTTACAGCAAAAAATTAGATATGTACTTACATTTGAGAATTATCAAGCGGCTCGCTGCTAGCCTTGAAATTTGTTTAAAATGCAAAGAAATCATGATAAGTCACATTACCTGAATGATACTTAAATTAATCATTTTACAAGTTTCATTGAAATATCATTTTCTTATTAAGAATAAAGTACCTGATTGACTGAGTTGAGTTCGGCATTCTTTAAAATCAAGAACATTGATTTTTCATTCCCGTTTAACTAAAACACAATATTTCATTAAAACCATTTCTATTTTCCTATGATTAGACAAAAAAATAATAATAAATGAATTGCTTTGTTAGATCAAGCTGTGAGTAATAGTTGAAACATGTTTTCTTCCATCAGGCTAAATGTCCTCAAATGATTTAATTAATAGCAAAAATAGAGAATCTTCCAAACCCTTTGGACATTAAAATACAATATTGTATCTTTTGGTCACCTAATTTAATTCATTGAAAAATGTTCATAATGAAACATGAACAAATAAAACCAGTTCATTACATAACATTTCTTGCATAATCTTAATGTACGTTTGTCTCAAATTCTAAAGGTTAACAAAGCATTGTGTGAGTCACTAAACACACAAACGTAAAACTGTTTTTTTATAATGAATTCACAATTCATAATGTTATCATTATTATCTCTATGCCAAAGGAGCCATTGTAATTGTCTAAACAGCCTTGACAAACAATATAAAAGATTTTATGCTTTCTGAATTTGGAGTTTCTATAACTATGACTGATCTCAGTTCCAAACATGAATGTAGGCACTTAGTTAGAGAGCAATAAATAATTATAGGATTTTTTTTATGGTAGGCTTAGGTTTGCAAACTTGCTGGCGAATTACCTGATGGTAAGCAATCGGCACACCAATGGAGTTAGGAGTGCGTTGGCGGACTTATGGGGTTTCGGATATTTTAGGATATATTTTAGTGATAAGGAGAGGGAGAGGAATTGGGCCTCTGGTAACCTCACGCACCACGGCGAAAAACAACGTTGTGGTTGTTTCACGCCGGTTTCCAGTGAGGCCGTGGTATCACTCCGGTCGAGCCGACCCATTCGTGCCGAAGCATGGCTCTCCCACTTATCTATTATTTGTTTTAGACCTAGTGTATACAATACTTTTTGATGTAATTCATAATTGAATTTGCAGTCTAACAATACAGTCCATCCAGTTCATATATTTTTTCATAGTTACCTAAAGACATCATCAAAAACATCTTCAGTCTAACTTTCAGCAAAATATATTTATCTAAATTTACAATTTTCAGGCAGAAAAATTGCGTAGGTAATGTCCCAGCAAAAATTTGGCTCACATCCATTTTGAATACCTACCATGTTTCATTTCTATAATTTCTCTCATTATAATTGTGGACGGTGTGACGTAGGGATATAATACATTTAATTAACTACTTCCCACTGAGAATTGGTTTATATCGTTGTTATAATTTAGTGTTGCTATATGCACAATGGACGATAGCCAATGTTGACGCCTATCGACGCGACGACGAAATGACGCGCTTTTGGTCAGTACAATGACGTCTATGTTGCATGTGTCTTTCTCCTTTGATAGTCTAAAATAAAACCTAGCAGACTTGAGCAGGAGAAGGAACGGGAAAAGACATTTTTGATGACTTTTCCCTAACAAAAAACGTTTTACCTATTATCAGCCGAGGTTGCGGTCGCAAGCGCAGTAAAGTACCGTGGCCTCAGCTAGAACCAGAAGAAGGAATGGGGTGGCATTTAGTCAGTAAGAGTCTGATAAATCTGGTTGTAAAACTGATTGAAAAGACTAACCATAAAGTATCTTGCTCGTTCTTCTCCATCAAAATCTACGCTTTGAAACGTGAGACCAGTTTTTTATCTTAATATTTTGTTTGACGTCAAAAGTGAATACGTAAGTATAATGGTCTAATAAAATAAATAATTTGACTTTGACTTTCATGTCTCTCTAAGTCATCATCAGCCAAAGACATAGGATTATATTCCCCGTCAAAAAAAGATTGACTAATAATATGTAATTCGAGATTAGAGAGGTTAAAGTCTGTTACCATTTTCCCAGTCTTCTGCAATTACAACACTGTTGACTGCACAGTTGGTGCGGTGGCTGGGCAACTGGCTGCCGTGCAACGTGTCGCGGGTTCGATTCCCGCACGGAACAACTCTTTGTGTGATTCGCAAATTGTTGTTCCGGGTCTGGGTGTCATGTGTATGTGAAATTGTATGTTTGTAACCGCACCCACGACACAGGAGAAAATCCTAATGTGGGGCAACGTTTAAATCGTGTGCATTCAATTTAGTAGGAGGTGTTTCTTGGATATTTACTAGAAATACTCAGTAGTCATCATTGAAGTTATCGATTCAGAATTTCTTGGTACCTATAGAATAAACATGAAGTCTGCAAGTGAACATTTGCTCGTTTTACTGCAGTATAGTCCCCTTTTGCTATCTCCAATGCTACTAGTGAACTAAGCCGACAAACTCAAACCAAGTTGTATACATAACTAATGTTTTCTAGCTTGTATATTAGTTTTCTAGACAATAACTTATAATGTAAACTTTGTAATTTAGATGTTAAAGCTAAAGGTTACATTTAGGCGAAACATAGACTTACAGAAAGGACTTCAGACTTATTTGTCTTTGGGTCGCAATAGTACAATGCCTTTCGTCAGTTTACCAGCTATACATATAGTTTACGTCTATTTTAAGTTTGAAAGGTCTAGCTAGGATTTAAAAGCATCGTCAGCGTTATTGGCACTTGTGGAAACACGAAAGTCAACATCCTAGAACCTCGATATCACGATATAGCAATTTGTAAACGTGGATTTGATTGTTTCTGAATAGAACGAGTGTATCTAGTTATGCTTGAAATACTAGAATAGTTGTATAGTCTAGATAAATTCCAGTGCAATAGCTCTGGATTCGCAGCCATCAAACAGCTCACGAGTTGCGGTAGATTCAGGCAGGCTATTAAAACCAGACTTAAACCCTCCACGAGTGCTTGCCACTGTGAAAACCCTGGATTAAATAGCTGCTGAATTGAAATAAACTTTGCACAATATAGACTCAAAATATAAAAAGGCATAATCGGGTATTTGACAACCAGTCAAATTCAATACTTTTTTCATGTGTATTATATTTCAATTTCTTGAAGATTTGCTAGAAAATAAACGAAAATGGAATACGTTGTATAGTCAACAAAAAAAGAGTGATTATTTTTCAATAATATAATTGCACCGAAATTTATTCTTTACGATTAAATCAAAAATCAATTTCTTCACGTTATTTTCTTATTACAACCTCCTTAGTTTCAATAGTCTAGTTGTCGATGACGTATTTTATTACTAAGGACTAAATTAATATCATTGAAAGGGCCGCACTGCATGTCCATTGTGCAAGGTATGCTTCGTTATCTGTGGCCGTCTGACTCATTATTGTTAAAATTTGTGTGCGTACGTGCTTATGTACTTATTCGTCGCACGTACTTAGAATCGGGCAATTTAAAAGTATTGCAGCTTATTGTAGTCGGATAAGATAACAGTGGTCACCAATATGTATTATGTTATGTACCTATGTATAGTACATAATTATCTAATTCGAATATATGGAGCGATAAAAATTGATAACGAGTACAGACGACTAAATATGGCGTGGTATGAACTAGGTCAAGTCGTAAATTCAGTTCACATAAAGTCTAGAAAGTGTTTTCATAAAAGCACTGGGACGTTACTAGGTAATTTAAAAAATATAGCTACTGTTGTACGTATAGTTTGAATTTACTCAACTGCTAAGCTGGTGCCACTTTATTCGTATCATTTAAAATAATTTTCATTTTCTTACGTTAGTTTTATTATTGTTAATTGAAGTAAGTAAATAATGTAGAATTTTTAATAAACAAGAACACTAAATAAGTAGGTATATGAAACTCGTCGACTGTTTTCTTTTATTCTGCTTTACATAAAAAGTAACATTTATTATACCTACCTTAATGTTTAGTGGTTATTGTGAATGGCTAAAAAAACCTTAACTTGACTTCACGCTTAAATTATTGCCTTTCCTAGGACAATATTTTTTATGAATTAATATAATATTTGTTATGTTAACCATACATAACGTATTTCATATTTATTTTAATGAAATATTGTTTTTATATCTTGAGTAGAGTGTCTCAGCGTGTCGCATTAGACGGATATTATTTTTCGAAATATGCAACGATAAATGTGATCTGACATTTTCATTGTAAGTAAAAGAAATTTCAATTACTTGAGATACTTATCAATTCTCAGAATTGTTGCTATCAGGCGAATCGAAACGTAAGTCTTATAGGAAAAAAGGTATTAAATTATATTTAGAAGCCCGTACATCAAGCTACCGGAAATAACATTACACATTTTTTACCTTATTCGTTTGGCGTAAGGTTGAAAATATGATTTTAAAGTAAATCTTCTTGAGATCTTGTGCTCTCGTCTCTCGGTACTTAAAACAATATGGTGAAGATCTTGTTCGGTTCGTTACCAAAATAAATCCATTTGCGGAACTGAATGTATCAACAGGAAAAGTACAATTAAACACTGGCCGCAATAATAGTAGACGGTTCCCCAATAAAGTTATTATTATAGAACAAATAAACGGGCGTGTCCATGCGAAACCCCAGGTGTTCGATCGAGCAATATCCTGATACGATTAATTTGTAGCACTGTACAATAATTGCATTGGATTTCAAATAACTACAGAGCAATTGTATGATAGCTTAACACAGCGTAGATTCCCTTTGAACTCCTGTTATACCTCCAAATGCCAATGGGAATAAAGAGGACAAATACTCGTAGATTCCAATAAAAAAAAAAATAGTTTTCTTTTCGATCCGGAGTCTAACATAGTGCACATGGCCTACAAATAGTAATTTTTATGCCATCGACCGTTTTATTACGCTAGGTACTAAGCACACATACATGAGTACAAAAGAGGTATTACATAATTTCTTTGAACCATTATAGTTGCCTACCTAATATCCCTTTCAGGTCATTCGTTCCACTGTATCCTCGACCCAAAATTCCGGTTCAACGACCCCAAAATTTAGAAAAAAGGCTAGTTAGGTACCTGGCCTAGGCTTTGTCATACAAAAAACTGCCAACAATAGATACGTAGTAATCTTCCATCGCAGGAAAAAACAAGGTTATCACATCCCATCCAGCCAGTGACCCGTGTAATGAAACTAGGGATTCCAAGTGGAGCTTTGTACAATAAAATGCCTATCAAAATTCTCATGACAATACCACCACCATTGATCGTTACAATAGTCCTTCAATATCTTAACAATTACTTGATAGAAAGATTTTAATTGATCGACCGCAGTAACAAACGCTGTTTAACAAACCATTACAAATGTAATAATGCTGAAGAGCTTTCTGTGTACTTGCTGTCGAAAGAGAACTCCAAGAAGCATCGTTTAGATTTCCACTTTTATTTGCATTGTATACCTAGCCCTAATTAAAACATCTTGCATCAGGATAAATCATTTAGAAACGTGAAAGACCTTGTAATTATAACAGTTCACACTTTTTCTGTTTCTCATGGATACAAAAGTCCAGTGATTGTGACACTAAGCAATATCGTAGGATCTTGTGGACAAACTTCACTACTTCTATGTAGTTAGTAACATACTCTATTCACGTGAACAAAACAAAAATGGAATCCAGAGAATTGAATTTGTCCTGAGAATTCTCTTAGAAAGGGTCCAATGTTTTATATAACTTTGGGAACAATTTTTAAAGAGCTTTCCTTTGCCCGTAGTCCTGTGTCTGATTTATTCATAGCGTTATATTGGAGTTTTTTGACTTCTCCGCTTGGACATGTTAAGCCTATCCGGTCCGGTCGTGTAGGTTTGTTTTTGCGGATTATGTATTCAAAGGAAAAATGTGGTTAAAACAATCTTGCTTGTGTTTTGTTTCTCTACGCACAAAAGATAGTCTTCTGCGTGGATTATAGCTATTTCTGTAATATGAAGCTCAAATGTTTCAAGAAGCGTAAAGTAAATTAAAAAGCGGACTACTCCATCA